TTAAGGAACTAGGAAATGGATCAGAGTAAAATACATAGAATGTAGCACAAAGTGGTAAAAGCATAGAAAATATAAAAGTTAGAATAAAAATATAGAGCAGGACTAGCACATATTTAAGTTTCAGAAAGAGAAGAGAAAGAAATTGAAGTAGAAAGATATATCAGAAGGTATAATAGTTCAGACTTTTCCAAAATGTATAAAAATCATACATCTATACATTTTAAGAAGCCCAACCAATATCTACACAATAATTGTTTTTTAAAAATCTTGCTTAGAGGCATCAGAGTGAAACTTTAGAAAACCAAAAATAAAGAGACCAGGGAATAAATGTGCTTAAAGGGGCCAGGCGCGGTGGCTTGACCTGTAATACCAGCACTTTGAGAGGCCGAGGTGAGAGGATTATCTGAGCCTGGGGGTTCAAGACCAGCCTGGGCAACTTGGTGAGACTTCATCTCTACAATAAATCACAAAAATTAGCCAGGCATGGTGGCATGTCTGTAGTTCCAACTACATGGAACGCTGAGGCGGAAAGATCGCCTGAGCACAGCAGGTCAAGGTTGTGGTGGCCATGAGTGTGCCACTGCACTCCAGCCTGGGTGACAGAGGGAGACTCCAATTCAAAACAAAAAATAAAAAATAAAAGTGCTTAAAGAAATGATAATTAGATTAACAGGTGACATCCTGTGAACAACAATGAAAGTCAGAGACAGTGAAATAATATTTTCAATGTGCTGAAATGAAAAAGAAAGCCAACCTAAAATTGTATTTCCAACAAAAATATATATTAACAATAAACAGTATATAAAGACCATGTCAGACAAACAATAACCAGGAGAGTACATGACAAACAGCCCTATTTAGATTTCCTTATGAAGAAATCTAAAGAATGCTCTATACCAGAAAATTTTAAAATGACCAAGATGAATGGATGGAGATCCAAGGACTGAAGAGTCAGAGGGCAGCAAATATGTAGGTACATCTCAGTGAATACTTATTATATAAAATAATTACCCTGCATTATGAGGTTTAAAATGAGTATATATAGATTTTCTAAAGGCAAGTGTTAGTATTCTCTATACAAAGAGTTTCTACAAACCAATAAAAATCAAATAGAAAAACAGACAATTGATATAAATGGCAATTCACAGAAGTGTAAATAGCCATTAAACATATTTAGCATGGCCAACTACACTAGTGACCAACAAAATGCAAATAAAATTATACACCATTTTTTGTCTATCAAATTGGCAAAAACTCTAAAAAATATGATAATATCCTTGAGTTGATATGCACATGGAAAAACAGAAGCTCTTTGATTCTAATGAGAATGTAAATTGGTAAAACCTTTTCAGGGAGCATTCTGATAGAACCTAGCAAACTTTCAAGCACACATACCCTCTACAGAAGCAATTCATCTAGGAATATAGCCAACATAAATACATAGTGTGCAATGATATTTACAACAATATTCATTGTAACATTGTTTAAATAGCACAAAGTTGGAGAGAAGACACATGGCATCAAAAAAAAGAAAATAAAGGTCAAGTAAATTATGCATTATCCATAGAAGGAAATATCATAAAGTGAAAAGAATTAGGATAGTAATAATACCGTATTGTACACTTGACATTTGCTAAGGGAATAGATCTTAATGTTCTCATGATACATACAGAAGAAAACTCTACATGAGATGACAGATAAGTTAGTTAGATTGATTGTGATTTCATAATGCAGAGATACATCAAAATATCAAGTGTATAATATTTATTTGTCTATTACACTTCAAATTGAAAAAAAATTAGGAGACGTCAGTACTGAAGTGAAGGGATACCCAGCATATACGACTGACATTAAGAAAAAAAGGTTGCAATTTGTACCCCACAAAGCTATTGAAATTTTTTTTTATGGTCAAAAAACAGAAAAGAAAAAAGGACCGCAATACATATATCATGACCCTATTTTTGTTATTAAACAAAAACCAATAACAAAGAGTTGATTTACTTTTACACATGCACAGCACACATAGAATTGTTTAGCAGTGCTGTTTCCAGAAACTTGGTGGGGGATGGGCAAGTGTACCTTGCCTACTTTATATTGTTTTAAGCTTTTTACATCAAGACTTCATTACTCTTGTAATTGCGGGGGAGAGTACAAAGGATGAGTCTGATTGTTTTGATGGGTTTACTCACACAGTGCATTCATCCCAGAGAAGCATCAAAGTCTGCCTGAAGGAAGTAAGGGGAGCTTTATATATATGGGTTCACCTGTAACACCAAAAAGGGGAAAAGGAGCCAGGGCCTAAAACCTCCAGCTGTTCGGCTGTGGGTGGGGCCTACAGGACCAAGAGAAGGGGATGAAAGTCCTCACCTGTGAACTCATGCTGCCAAAGGCAGTGCACAGAAAGTCAGAGGGCTTATGCCAGTCAGAGGGTCCCCGGGTCAAATAAGTTTGTGGCGCTCTGGTTTGGGTGAGGGGGAGCCACTGAAGTTTCTTGAGCTAGGGCTGGCAGGTGGGATGGAGGGAAGACAGCAAGGCCCAAGGCAAGAAAGCAAAGAATGACAGTAAAAGGTGATTCATTCACGCAACACACAGGGAAGGGGCTGTACCATGTGTCAGGCCCCGAGCCAGGACATGGGGCTAAGAGCTGAAACAGCCCAAATCCCTTCCTTGGGGCGTTCCCTGACAAGCAAGAGAGAGAAACAGACACACGGAAAGCACATCCGGGAAGGACAGAGCTGAGATGAGACTGTGGGGGTTCCGGGAGCCCAGAGAAAGGGCCTCTAGCCCCACCTGGGACCAGGGGCCCTTCAGGGCGACCCCAAGCTGAATGAGTCCTAGGAACATGCAGGAGTGAACAGGAAAAGACACCTCCGGGGGCTTCCAAGGCAGAGGGGTGGCCTCCGCATTCAGTCGAGTTGCCGTTCTACCAACAGCCCAGTACCTGCAGCTGTAAGTCAGGGGTGAGACAAGATGAAATGAGTGTGGGGGGATGGGCTGTGGGGTGGGTTGTGACTTTCCAGGAAAGGGGAAAAGCTCAAGGTGAACTCCTGAGTGGATGGCGCTGTCCCACGAAAGAAGGGAAGGCTAGAAGTCGAACATATACCTCACAAAACACCAACACACATAATTCCATGTGAATTCTCTATCTGCTTTATTATCATGGATTCATTTATGTATAAAATAGATTTAAAATGATTTTCTCTCTTCTTCACGTCTCAATTTAGAAAGAAGAAACCTTAATAAGCAACGCTGAATTCAAATAGAACTAAAAGTCTTGCAGAGACCCTTCTCCAAGTTCTCTCCCTGTTAATCCATGTGACTTCCATCTGTCATATGAGTGGACAAGGGAGAGTGTTCATTTTTCTGAGTTCATATACATTCGACCCTGGAGGCGGGTACACAACATTCAAAGTTTGTGACTAAGGCCCCTTGAAGTTTTTGACTAAGGCTGCCCTCTGTTTGTGAAGCTACACTCTTGAGAAAGCCAAGGCTGCTCAGCAGAGAAGGGGCCGTGAGGACTATGGATGTCACCAAAGCTCCTCCTCTGGCATCAGAGAAGGAGCAGTCAACTATAAGACCCCTGGCACTAGGTAGATTCTGACCCTTAGTGCCCCCAATAACTTTCCTCCTGTCTCCTCTCCCTCAAAGCAGAGTAACAAATGTGTGCAGCTGGTTGAGATGCAATTATACTGATTATACGTACATTCCCGTCGCTGCTTTCTCTAATGGGGACAGGACAGATCAGCTCACAAGGTTATGGGGGGGGGGGGTAAGGGACACCATGGACACACAACCAATGTTAGTTGATGGTGATGATGATAAAAATACTAACGGCTCCTCCTTGCTTCCCATAACTAGCTCTGAGTGCTGAATTTTCTTAGTTTTTCACTTTATGCCACTAACAATAACTGGTAGAACTTCCTAACTTCTCAAAAACCGAATCTTCCATCAGGTATGTTTCTCCAAGCACCCTGGGAACGGGCACAGGAGCTTGTTAACCAAAACATGTTTTGTCTGGAATCTCTCCTTGTGAACGGGGTCTGACAGATGATCAATAGCCAGTCTGTTTAGAAATGCCGGTCTGAATATTCCCAGGAAGGAACAACTGGCTTATTAGTGTGGCTACTGAATCCTGCCGTGGGACATTTCCTACTAGACACTGAGCTTTGGCATGGGAGACTGGCTGATGTCCTTCATTATAAAAAAATAGTTGGGTGGGGAATTTCTGCAACTGTGCTTCCTGTGCTATACATTTTCTTTGTCTGTGGGGACCTAATTACAGTGCCTGGAGGGTGTCTCTAATACGGGTACCTTGCGGCATCTGATACCATTCAGTGAAAGCTGTCTGGACACTGCAGACAAGATGTATCTCACTTTGCACACTGACCAGGAACCTGAAGGATTCTGTGTGACAAAGCTTTACCATTTGAATCCTTGTTCCAGGTTTATGTGATTGGTTCAAAAATGCTGTTTCTAGGATTATATATGCTTATTTATTAATCGTGTATGTTAGAATGTTGTCTTCTGTGTGCCAGGCATCATCCTAGGTGCTGTAGGCATAGTCGTTGACTTAATCCTCACAGACCTCTTTGTAGCTAGTGTGTCTGTCTTCATTTTTCAGATAAGCAAGGGGAGGCTTGGAGAAGTAATATCATCTGCTTCAGGGCACGCAGCTAGTGGGTGCTGGATGGAATTGGGTTAGATCCATACTCATCTAACAAGTGCACGCTCTCTGCACTGCTGGGTCCTGCCAACTCCTTCCATTCATTCATTCATTCATCAACCAGACACTGTACCCCAGTACTTCCAGGGGGCCAGTATGGGGAATCCAGAGACACAACCTTATTTGAGCAGATCTACAATTGCACAGTAATTATGACTTCTGGGCCAGAAGTGTGTACTTTCTAGTTTCTATTATGCCCACAAAGCAAATCAACATCAACAGGCACATCGTGGGTAAGGCATCCTGCCTCGCCTCCCAGTCCTCCCGTCTCCCTTACCATCTCCAGTTTTGCTTGGGTTGGGGGGTTCAGGAGTACTCAGAGGCCTAAGGGGAATAATGATCTCATCAACATTGACCCCTTCTTCTGTGTGCTTCTCAGAAACGTGGGAGAGGAGTTCCGACTGACTTGGTGAGAAAAGGTTACAACATTTACACATGAAGATGGCCGTGTTTTCTGTAAGAAAAAAAAGGAGAATGCGTTATTTCATCTCCACATAAACAACTACTACTTCCAATTGCCAAAGAAAATCCTGAAGACTACCCTTTTTGAGCCATCACCAGCCTCCACCAGACTGTGTCCCTCTGGTGGACACCCCCATGGCAGGCAGCTCACATCCACCTTCAGGGGACTCCAGTTGCCAGAAGTTCATTTCTCAATATTTCAAAGCCTCAGTCCTGGATAGTGTCTAATATGGGCCTCTCTGTTACCCAAACCTACTCAACAGCCCAGATTCCAGGATAAGTACACCCAAGTAAAAACAAATATGCAACTTGAAAAATGCTACCCCTCAAATGAATGAACTGCACACTGATGGCAATTAAGTATTCTTGCTAGACTCTCTCAAATTAGGCTGGAGGAAAAATTGACCAAAATAGCATTTCTCAAGAGCCAAGACATCTTTCAATGAAAAGATGGGAATCTGTGTCTTGTTTAAAGCCACTTAATTCCTATTTACAACATTATCACCATTCACAGGTATTTACTAATAGCTCATTATGTTCGACCCATTACTAGGCAGGAAGACATAATGAAGGGGAAAACATTCATTTTTTTAACCAGATAAAATAAAGTATAGATAAAATATTAAATTTAAGCCAGGCTCGGTGGCTCAGCCTGTAATCCCGCGCCTTTGGGAGGCTGAGGTGAGTGGATTGCCTGAGCCCGCGGGTTCAAGACCCGCCTGGGCAGCGAGACCTCATCTCTACAATAAATCAAAAAATCAGCCGGGCGTGGTAGCGCGCGCCTGTAGTTCCGGCTCCTGGGAAGGCTGAGGTGGAGGGATCGCCGGAGCCCGGCAGGTCGAGGCTGCGGTGGCCGGGAGCGGCCACTGCACTCCAGTCTGGGCGACAGAGTGAGACTCCAACTCAAAAAAAAAAAAAATATTAAATTTAGGATCTAGTAACAAAAGCCAGATTTACATTCTTTTATTTCATATTTATACTATTTTATATTATGATTTTTACTGAAAGAAAGAATTGGTATTGATGAAAAGGACAATGGTTTTGAAGCCAGACCAACTCCAGTCCCTAAATGCTGGAAAGCTGATGACTTTGAAGAAGCAATCATAACCTGTCAGTCACTGAAATCCCACAGGAAATGCGGGAACGAGTCTACTCAGTAGCACCAATGTCACAGGCACAGAAATCCACAAGGCTGACTCGGCGCAACTCTACACCTACTATGTGCCTTCACTCACGCAGCTCCGACGGCTGACAACCCACACCCAGGTTGCCCGGCTCCCCCTTGACATCCTCATCACTGGCCACCTGGGGACTCTCAGGGCTGCCTGGACACTGTAGACCAGATGTGTCTCACTTTGCACACTGCCCATTACGCTATCGACGCTGGATACACACGTGGCAATCCTGCGCACTCCCTAGGCCATGTGCTCTCTACCAATGGTGAACAAATGTCTCATCTCTCTTCCCCCGCCTCACTCTCAACGGCTGACCTTGGCTCCTATCTCACTGGAGGCTGCCTCCACCACCCCTGCCAGCCCACCTGCGTCTTCACCATCCCCCCTCCTCCTCACTCCTGCTGCTGTGGGGGTGAGCACAAGCAGGGGCACCCAGGTGTGCAGGTAGGGGCAGCAGTGCCCCCCGGAGCAGGGGTGTTTTATCACTGACATGTTTATACTTGCTGGCTCAGGGAGATAATACAAGCAGACTCGCTTAAATGTGCGTGATCATTGCCTTTCCATTCTCTTAAGACGGTGCACCCCTTACTGTCTGTACCCGAGAAGACTGCTCCCGTGGCCCTCCCTGGGGAGGTTACTAGAAAAAGACACACAGGAACTTGTGCATGCAGGACACACCCCCTCCCGCCCACTCAACAACAGGGTCAGCCATTTTCGCTTCTTTCTCCAGATCATCAATCCTTTCCCCTCTGCTGGATCTTTCCCACTGGCCTGCAAACGTGTTCTTATTCTCCCTTCTGAACAAAAACCTCCTCTGAGCCCCGCCTCCCCACGCTCCCACTCTATTTTTCTTTTCTCTTTAGAGCAAAACTCCCCCACCAGAAAGGGGAGATTGGGAAGAAAGGCAACAGGCCAACACAGCATCCCTAGGTGAAGGCAGAACGCTTGTAAGGCACCGGAGTCCCAGGAGCGAACCCCTCTCTCAGTCACAGGAAGACTCTGACCATGAACAAGCAGGGGAGGTAATGACCTACGAAAATTTCTTCCTACCAAACAACACGTGAAATCGAAATTTAACAAAGCAGAACATTGCTCCGTCAATGAAAATCTCTCATGAATACTGCCAATCGATATTTTTGTTTTTTCCAAGAAATGTTTTATTCCAAAGAAACCCAAAATGCTTCCCAAACAAGAAGAGATTAGAGTGATACTTTTTCTTTATACAAGGCCATGTTGCTTTTGACTTGCTTCCTGCTAATCCTACAATCATCTGATGATTTAAGCAGAAAGGGGTTTGGAATTCCGAATCCACAGGTAGGGAAACTGAGACTAAGAGAGAAAAAAGCAACTTGCTTATGTCAGGGAACAGGGACCAGATTCTCTACTACCTGTGTTTGACATGAGAAGTGTTTGGCGACAGCCCATGAGCTGACTTCCTCCACATTGCAGCTAAAATACTGGGAACTCTACATTCAGCAACATCTGAAATAAAACTCATGCCAAGTCGGGCTCAGTGGCTCAGCCTGTAATCCCGCGCCTTTGGGAGGCTGAGGTGAGTGGATTGCTTGAGCCCGCAGGTTCCGAGACCCTCCTGGGCAGGCGAAACCTCATCTCTACAATAAATCAAAAAAAATTAGCCAGGCGTGGTAGCGTGCGCCTGTAGTTCCAGCTACGTGGAAGGCTGAGGCAGAAGGATCGTCGGAGCCCAGCAGATGGAGGCTGCGGTGGCCGGGAGCAGCCACTGCCCTCCAGTCTGGGCGACAGTGAGACTCAAAAAAAACTCATGCCAAAATCACACATCAACGGCATACCTGTTCACTTTAGCATCTTTTGAGCAGGGATCACAGGTGGGCCCTACCTCAGGAACTAGGGCCAGAGATGAATCAGGCACAAGGCCCAAGCTCTGCCAAGGAGGAGGATGCCATCTCAAAGGAGAGACAGACAAGTCAATCTCATCTAATAGTTTTTACTGAAATTATTTCTCAACTCATCTGTAAGTGTTCTTGGTTCCTAGGATGTTCTCAGGAGATGGGGAATTCTGTGACATTGAACAGAATAATTATGAAAAGTCTCCAAGTTCAAAGGCACACCAAGCACTATCTGGAGAACTATGTATGAAAAAATGTCGGCTGAGCTTGGTGGCTCAGCCTGTAATCCCGCGCTTTGGGAGGCCGAGGTGAGTGAATTGCCTGAGTCCGCAGGTTCGAGACCCGCCTGGGCAACTTGGTGAGACCTCATCTCTACAATAAATCAAAAAAATGAGCCGGGTGTGACAGCGCGTGCCTGTAGTTCTGGCTACTTGGAAGGATCGCCGGAGCCCAGCAAGTCAAGGCTGCAGTGGCCGGGAGTGGCCACTGCACTCCAGCCTGGGTGACAGAGTGAGACTCCAACTCAAAAAAAAAAAAAAGAAAAGAAGAAGTGTTGGAGACTGCTGGAAATAAACTACCTCCCAGCTGTTCCACATAGCCTGAAGGTCTGAGGACCCCAGGGTGGCACCTGGCCTGGGCCGTCTGTTATTAATTAGCACATGTCTGTATGTCCTGCTCTCTTAGGCAGGAGGACTGGACCTGGAGTTCCCGAGGTGGAGGCAGAAACACACACACAGACCTAAGACAACTCTCTCCTAATTGAGGGCTCAGCTGTGTGATGCAGGCCATGAGACACAGCACAGTGGAATGTACCCTGGCCCAAAAAGGGTCCCACAGGCAGGGGAGGCGTCTCAGTCACTGGACACTCAAAGCTCAGTGATGCAGGACAAGAATGCTCCAGGAAGGCAGGAGAAATGCAGACTCAGGGAAGAAACAGACACATGGTGTCATGGAGCAGGTCTGCCAATAGCACAGGGACCTGTGCTCACAGGGACAGAGCACAGTCCAGGAGGTCCAGGACAGTCACCTGAGTGGGAACTGGCAGCTCCCAAGAGACCTGGGAGCCCACAAACAGAGTAAAGGCATGGTGAAGCCATGTTTGAAAGTGCTGGTCCCGCAGAGGACTCCTCACCTGCATCAGCTCCCCTTCGTGCCAACCCCCTGGATTCTGCACATCCCCATCACACTGTCCCCCTAGAATGTGAGATCCATGGAAGGGGCAGCTGGCCAATCTTGGTCCCCTCAGTGCACCTGGAAGACAGCAAGTGGCCAAGGCAGAATGAGGGGAGGGAGGAGAAGGGAGTGCACTGCCACCACCAGGGTGGGACTGACTTCAAAGAGCCTGTCCAGGAATGAAAGTGAAGGTCAAGTGCAGTAGACAGCTCTGCAGAGGAGGGATCAGGCCAAGTAGGCAGGACACTGTCACTGACCAGATGTGACAACAGAGAGAGGGGAGGCAGATGTGGCCCACTGGAAACAAGGACAGCTCTGATGGGCAAGATCAAGTTCTGTTACAGGATTCCGTGTCTGTTACCTGTTCTATGTCAGGTCCTTAACTTCACTGCAGAAAAAAATTTCAGAGTGAGTTGAACGTAGTAAGGCAGTTAATACATTTACCAAGAGTGGAAGTAACAGAATAGTACACACTTCAAGGCAAAGTGTGGGTGAATACAAGGAAGTGCCATGTCAGGGGTCTTTGGCTCGTGGGTTCTGTGAGTTATAATATTGAAAGGGGTGGAACAGTCTATTAAAGGGGCGGATTTTTTCTAAGAAATGGGTGGGAATTGGAAAGTCACCCAATTTATTACTACAAATGGGCAGGGGCAGAATGATCATGGTGCTGGAGGGTGTGTCATTTAGTATGCTAATGAATGTTCAATGGTGATAAAGGTTAAAGCAAGCCAACTTAGTTATTTGCGTGTCTGTCTAGGAGGGATTCCCCAACTGCA